CGTTCTCCTCTACATCCTGGTCCATGGCACGATGCCGTTCGATGGCCACGACTACAAGACTCTGGTCAAGCAGATCACGAGCGGGGACTACCGGGAGCCCACTAAGCTATCAGGTAGGCAGACCCCCACCACCCTGTGCGTCCCCCCCTCCACGTGTTCCCTTCGGTGCCTGACCTCCCTCTTCCCCAGATGCCTGCGGGCTGATCCGGTGGATGCTGATGGTGAACCCAGAGCGCCGCGCAACCATCGAGGACATTGCCACGCACTGGTGGGTGAACTGGGGCTACAAAGTGCCCATTGGGGAGCAAGAGCTGCTGCGGGAGAGCGATTCCCCCCTGGCCACGGTGGCAGAGTGGCTTCGACGCTCCTCTCGGCCCCTCCTGGAGAACGGCTCCAAGATGCGGTGCTTCTTGAAGCAGCACATCCCCGGCGTGGCCCTGGAGCGGCAGCGCTCCCTCAAGAAGTCCAAGAAGGAGAATGATGTCTCCCATGCGCTGCAAGAGGTGGCTCTGACCCCGGAGAACCCCTCCAAGTCCATCCTCAAGCGACCCAAGGGCATCCTGAAGAAGAGGAACTCCTGCGAGCAGAAGGTGCCTGGCCCCAGCCCCCCGCCGGCAATGCCCATGGGAGAGGCGAGGGGCGAGGATGGCGAGCGGGGCTCACCCAGATCCTGTCCGCTTGGACGCTGCCTTGCAGCACGGGCGTTGGAGCAGTGCCCATGGCTGTGCCCAAGAAGGGAATACTGAAAAAGCCCTCGACGAGGGAGTCGGGGTATTACTCATCCCTGGAGTGCTGTGAATCTGGGGATGTCCTGGATGCGGGGAGCTTGGACCTCGATGGGAACGTCTTTGCTGACACCCCCTCCCCGGAGCAGGGCCCCCAGGGTCTCCCCGTCCGCCGAAAAGGCATCCTCAAGCACAATGGCAAGTACTCCTCTAGCAGCACCGAGTCAGAGAGTCCCTCCGGGCAGGGCTTCGGGGGCTTCAGTGAGGTGCCCCTGCCCCAGGCACCCCGCGCCCGCCCGTCCAGCGCCGTGAGTGAGGACAGCATCCTCTCCACGGAATCCTTCGACCAGCTCGACCTGCCCACCCGTGTCTCCCACGGCAGCGGGAGCATGCGGGGCTGTGTCTCTGCCGACAGCCTGCTGCGGCTGGAAGAGGAGGAGGAGGTGGAGGAAGGGCGCAGGCTGCGCCGCTGGACTGTGACCCATTGCCGGAGCCCCTTGGGGGAGAGCAGCTTGTTCCTGGCGGGCCACGACCAAGCCACTGAACACTGAAGTCTACCGGCGTGCTGTGGCCATCGGCATGAAGTTGAGCTGAGGGCACCTCCCGGCAGGACTCCCCGGGGTGGTGTGTGTTGGGGAGGGGGCCGAGCCCTCCCTGCCCGAGGGCTGCTGGTGCTGCTGAGCCACG